TTAAACAACATCATTCCAGGTGCCCGCTCTAAGCTCGGGAGTTTCATAAATGTTATCAAATTAAAACGCCGATTTTACCCAGCCGGGTGTAGAGTGATGTAATAGGACATTCCACGTCAAGAGGTCAAAGGTTCTCCACACGATTTTGATAAAATGTGTGAGGAATCCCACATGTATGAAAGAAACGTTTATGAACTTTTATGATAGGGCTAATTAAATTCTTTAATATGGCGTAATGTTCATAACCGGGTATTTTACACAAATGTAATTTTGTGAAAGTTCTCTAACGTAGTTATTATACACTTTTGTGCAATTTGTAAATACTATTGTATTTGTGATTTTAAGTTCTTCAAATGACTTAAAATAAAGTTTTTTGATTATTTTTAAAAAATCTGTGAAAACATGCTTCAAATTTCGAATTTACTGTTTAGATTAAGTGCCATTTTCTTAAAAACGGCTCCAAATTTTTGAAAGAAAATTGCCATTTACGACAAGGTTTTACTGCCCTTTAATATTCGTAAATTAAAATTTCCGTTCTATTATTAGAAAACCGAAAAATGAAGAAAGTCACAAGAAAATTTACTTTGGTTGGCGATAGATGGCAGCTGGCAAGACTTAATGGGGCTGGCTGTATATGTCTTGCAATTGCCAGGCATGTGGGCCATTCAGATGTCACAGTGGCCCGAAGTTGGAATCAGTGGGTTCATGAGGGCACCCATGCACATCGCGCAGGCTCGGGTCGACCAAGAATCACCACTCCTTGGAAGGACCGTTGTACGGTGCGCCAAGCACCGCGGAATCTTCTAATGTCGGCATTCGCCATCCACGAATATATAGTGGCCGCTATTCAACATTCTGTGAGTTTCTCATACGCCGGGTTGGGTTCCCTCCGTCTTAAGCATCGGCGTCGGCGATTGGATTGGTGCAGTGCCGAGGAGTCATTTTCAGAGAACGAATGTCGTCCCAGTATGCTCAGTGATTAATTCCGCTTCGCCATTAACTCCCGATGACCATCGTGTTCGAGTGTGGCGGAGTGAAAGGCAGAGGGCGCATCCTGCCATTATTGTGGAGAGACACACAGGCGTAACTTGCGGAATCATGGTGTGGGGAGCCATTGGATATGCGTTCGAATCACCTCTAATAGTGCTTCGGCAAGTCATTGACGGCGCAGCGGTACGTCACAGATATTCTGCGTCCGCACGTCTTATCCATTATGGCACAGCATCCTTTATCACACAAGTTTCCTCCTCGCGAATTTCAGCGCCCAATTTAACTTATCGAAGTCCCTGACTCAATTCTTGTAGCAAAATTCTAGTACACACTCCTATTACTTTTAAAACAATACTTTTAACACATAGCCAATCCGTTCTCTTTCGAACGTCTTTTATCGTTCTCCTTTGAAAGCCTTCTCTCTCCATTCCTTTTCTTCACGCCAGCTAATGTTCAAGGAGTTTACACACAAATAATGCTCATATATAAACATGTAATATGATATAATACAAAGAAAGAGAACAAAATTATATTTTTTAGAAATATATGATGGTAGCAAATACAGGTATAGTGTAGGTAAACAAAAATACCATTAAAAATGTTACCGCATTACTGCAAACATTAAGTGCTCGTACTATGAAGTGATGTATCACACATGTAAGTTAGTGTTTAATAGAAAGAAACGGAGATGAAAATAAGTTGTGTAGGTCGGAAGTGCGAGAAGGGAGGGCGGTTCTAGCAAAAGACACTCCTCGGGACGATCATGGTGAATTGGGCAAGCTTGCCATTGCTGTGGCCGACTGCGTGCCTTTAAAAGTGCCGCCGAAAATTAGTTCCGGCGCCACTCAAGAGAGGGCGGCGATAGCAGACGCGCCGTAACGCTCGACTAGGCTCCGGAGCGGACGGGCGCACCCGTACCTGACAGCTGGCCAGCGGATCCGCAGCCCGAGCCGGCTATAAAAGCCGCGCCCGGCGAACTGAGAGACAGTCAAGCACCTGCCTACATTGTGAAGTGATAAGTGGATTGTGTACAAGGGCGACGACTCAGCTACGGTTACGGACTCTCTCTTTTGGAACAGTGAACGGCACAACGGCTGCGATTTTGGACATCTCCCCGGGAAATTGTGATTTGGACATTCTTACATCTTCTGGTTCGGACATTCGGTAGATCTTCTGGACAATTGTTTAGATCTGGCTACTTGAATTTGTCTACCTCTGTACTGATTGTGGTTGGAATATATCCATTTTTAGAAATTGGCGGCGGCGGCGTGCAGGGCAGGGCACATTTAGCCTAGAACACCGAGCCCAGAACAATGAGTGTATATCATGCTGAGATAATAGCTAAGGGCGAGAAAGGCCAAGGCCCGGCAACTCTCCATCAAAATTGGGGACAAAGCTAGAGGTTCCTACTATAGGATGCGCTGGTGTCGTAGGATACAGCTGCTGGTAAGGCTCGCCAACTTTCGAACATAAAAATTGGTCAAGAAATCCTAGTACACTTTTATTATGAGCGATTTCAGAATAAATTACACAAGATGTTAAATACTATGTGTTTATCTTCTAAAATTCATTTATTCATAATAATACACGCCCGAAAGAAAAGGTAGCGCGAACAGCGGCGCGATCTTTTGTATCAAGCGCGTGTGTTTGCGTCGCGAGAACCCACGCACGTTTTAAATAACGTTGGTAGCAGTTCGTATTTTAGTTCGTGTAAGAAGGTGATGCACTAGAGCGCGCCACTGCAATAGTCCCCACCACGTTATATGGGAGTTATAGGGCCTTGAGGCTTCCTATAATTCGCTGATGGGCGCTGAAACGCGACGCGGGAGAAGTGGCGGGTTGTCGAGCTTCTCACCGTTAGCGTAAATCGAGTGGAAAGGCGTAGTGATGGCCAGTACTACGGCTTTGAAGGAGATCATAAATCGGCTACTGAGTAGGGCCAGCTACAACGTAGATAGGCAAGCACTCCCCACGCGCAAATTAGCTATGCGCTCGTGCAAGGGTTAAGGCTGCTGCTGCTGGGTAAGAAAGGAGGAATAGTGACTTCACTTTACCCAGCCAATGAGCTTCACGATGGACAGGCTCGTCTAGTGAAATTATTGCCATTGGCAAAATAGAGAAGAGGCGGAGACTTGCCATTTAAACAGGGAGAAGGGAGAGTAACCTTTGTTGTGAGCGGGCACCGGAATATAAAATAGAACGACTTTGTCAGAGGACGACAATTGATACGGAGAGCCACGACTTGTCTAAGATCGAGTAAAGATGCTCGCAAGAAAATTGCAGATCGTCATAGTCTTCGGCGATGAATCCGACTACTGTTCAAAATAACGGAGCGCACAGCTCACCGATATAGGTCGCGCAGTAACGCAAACCGTCAAGTAGAATTACAACGGTAGCTACGCGATTACACCGGTTCCGAAGCGAATGTTCTACAATGAGTAATCGAGACACCGGTGAAGTATACCAGGAGAGACAGCAACCGCAATCGGGACTAATGAGCTCTACTTGACGGCGGCGCGGCGATGACAACAGCAGGGCGACCGAACGGCTGGGGTCTGACGGCAACGGCCGGGGTCTCCAGCAAAGAGCGCCGAAGCATTGTGTCGATGGGCGCGCGGGGTGCTTAGAATGAGCGCCTTACAATAGGAGTCTCCTTCTCTCCTCAGCTGTTTGACGGACGAAGCGATGGTTCTCAGCAACCCGACGCGGAAAGAGACATCATTAATGTGTGTGTGCAAACAAAACAATTACTTAAAGACAGTGCTCAAGGAATAAGAAAGAGAAGATTTGTCATTCAGTTGTCGTAGATGTAGTAGACTTCATGTATTTTAAAAAAACTGCGATATGCGGCATATTTGTAACCAAACTTCATTAGATTTGTAAATGGACTTTTTGTCAATCAGAATATTTGCTTTTAAATTATCACCTTCAATATACAGTATTATAAAACCTTGCAAGTGTCATCTAGGTAATTAAATGAATAAATATGCAACAATCAAAGCCGTGTCAACCAGAGATCGTGCAGCCGGGCAGCTATGACGCGACAGAAGCGAAGTCCATAAGAGTCAAAGTTTGTCAACAACAACAAATAATAATAATAATAATAATAATAATAATAATAATAATAATAATAATAATAATAAGTCGACCTCATGGCAGACGGTTGTGGCAGCCGTCGTCTGCACCAAAGAGGCTGCAGGTTCGAAAAATGAGGCTCAATGATTTTTATAAGCGTACTTGTCTTCAGTTTGGAAGAAAAAATTAAAGAAGAAATATCGAGCTGTTTTTGAGAAATCTTGATTTTAAAATAGACTATATTTCGCGCAAAATTACGCAAATTTTTGAAAAATTGCAAATGATTTAATAAAAATCTGGTAATGAAATACAAATTTTATTAACAAAAAATCTTTATCTTTAATATTATATTGTAGGAAGACACTGAAATAAATTGAACTTTGTTGTTTTCAAATATTGAGAATTAAATGAAAATAAGACTATCTGCTCTTTGAGACTATTTGCAGTATCCGAGTAAAAAAAATAATTCAACTACTTGGAGTCATATTCAAGAAAATTTTGAAAATGTTGAGGCTTCTTTTACAGTACTCCCTAAAATCAAAATATCCGTATCCAATTTGTGAGGCATCGATTTCAGCCAGATCGATTAAAGAATATCAATTTTGCAGAAAATCATTTAAGTGATTTAAGCGCTAACGGTCACCTCAAATTGACCGCTTGTCGGATGGACAGAAAGACGATCTGCCCTCAATCATACATGTGGTATCGAGGACCCACAAATTATGATTGATTCTGACAACATATATTAGAAGGCGTTATGTACGAATACTACATATAAGAAGAAGAATTATCCTCTTTTTCGATATCTTGGGCTGACAATGAGTTTTTATGATAAAACTGTGCCATTTTTTGCGGTATGACAATACTTTCTCTGCACTACGTGAGCATTTAGTAAGCGGGAACGTAAAAGAAATTAAGAAAACTACGCAACTTACCTGTCCAACGGTGAGGTCATCTCCTTGGTCCGGCAAAGCCCCCGTCGTATGGGACACCCCTGAAACAATTCACCCAAATTAGTTCACTTGAATGCGTACACGCTCCGCGCGGTTGCATGAAAATTAAAAACTCTCTTCATAAACCGCCTGGCATTCTTCTTAATTCACAAAGCACGCTGACGTCTCTCCCCTGCTCGCTAGCGACTCTTCACCTTTAAGAGCCTCTCAAAGCACTACTCGCCTGTAAATTTACAATTCTAATGTGCCACAAAATTCCGAAATGTACGATATCGCTTCTCACGAATACAGGGCTTTGATTGCGCCTTCTATAAACTCAGCCAAGGCGTCTTTTGGTAGAAACGAGTTTATGAACAGCGGTGACACTTTAAACGGCGAGCTCTGCGTGTTATAAATGGCGCGCACAATTATCTGCCATACATTACGGGGTCTGCAGCTGGCCCCACCCATTCCACAAGCGAGAAGCGGCTTACAGGCATTCACACCACGGACAAAAACAAATGGGGCCCAAAACGTCCCCTGAATCTGAATCTTCCCGTCTCGTTTTGCGCCAAGCTATGAATAGGGAGGACGAGGGCACGAGAATAGTCGTAATCCGCTTAGTTGGGTCGTGGAGAAAGAAAAATTGGACTGGCGGATTAAGGAACCGCGCCGAATGTTGTGACACGGTAAGGCGAGATTTGAACTGAATTCCAAATTAATATTACTTATCACATGATGATTTATTAAAAATAAATTATTCACTTGCCAACTGGAATGAAACATACAACTTTAATGTAAAACTGGCATTAAAGTAGTTCATTGATTAACGGTTATTCAAATATCTCATAATTTGTATTTAAATATTTTGATTTGCAGAACATCCATAGCAGTTAAGATAAACATTTAAGTTTCGACATTTAAGACTATGCATTTTTCTGTTGTTTTTTTAAACTTTTGATATAAATATAAATTTCCTTAAATTGATTTGTTGTGTTGATGACCAGAAATACAAAACGTGAAAAGTTGATGAATCATGCATACAAACACCTATTAATTCGTTTCACTTATGTTTTCATTTTTAAATATATTGTAGAAGCAGGCCAAAATATTACTAGATTATATCAACCTTATCGACTTTTTTATTGAAGCACTAGAGATAAAAAACCTTTCTAACAAATAGGCTTTCTTTGTAAGTCGTTATGAATACAAAATGGGACAAACGAAAAATCGCAACAATTGGCATTGTGCGGAGGCGCCAACGTGACAAATCGTTGCGAGCGCGCCAATTTACAGAAAAGGCTCCCGTCTGCAGATTGTTCCCGCCCGTCCTCCGACATTTCCGGTTCGCTTGCCGGAGGTCGCCGCGTCGGGTGATTAATGGACGGAGAAACGCGACGGATGGCAGCGCCGGGTGAGGCCTGTGCCCGGAAGGGGTGCCAACTGCTCCTCCCAGTCAACACTTCGACTTCAAGGCTCGACGCAGTTGACGGAAAAGGCAAGATGGCCTGAGGTGAAGGTCGCAGTCAAGATGGTGGCTAGGAGGGGGAGCTGTTCGTTCGTGGGTATTTGGACTGCCTGAGAGAATTCACGAAGTTGAGTTACAGTTTTTATTGTCTTCCGGTTTTCTCGCTTGCGCCTATTTATTTAACGGGTCCGAATTCCTATCATTCTGAGTGAACACTGACAATGTTAAATAGTTAAATAAAGTACTCAAGTAGTTTCAAGTACATTGCAGATATACAATTTCATTTTAAATGTACACCTGAATTTTTATCTAACAAACCATAGCTTGGAAATTATATTATGTCCCTTCAATGCATTTACTACAGTGGAATAAATATTATTCTCATAACTTCAATAGATTTTTTATACTTGATACAGAAGATTCGGTGTTTAAAACATCACTTATCCATAACCATTATAAATTTGAATGACTGAAATACTAGTTTATACGATTAGTTTATAATGTTAAGCTTCATTGAATGAGTACATGTTTTGAAAAGAAGCGACGTTCGGGACGAGGTTTCAAATTTGTACAAATGCAATAAAGCAACATTTTAAACGAGTTGTATACGCTAGTTTTTTTAATTACAGCATTATAAATTTGGAAGCGAATCAAACTTGTGTTGAAAAATCACTTTCTTGTGACGTCTCGGGTACTTGACATTTGTGCGAGAAATCGATGGTCGGCTGTTCGTTTACCGCTAGTTCCTCACAATTATCTCGCTGCGTTTTACTGAATGTGTGCTGACGCAATTATTCGTGCCGTAAAATCTAATACGTCATCATTTGTGCCGTAAAATAGGTTTCTATGAATGATTTCTTGCAAGAGAAAACGCCTTTTACAAAAAAGAAATTTAATGAACAATATAAAGCGATAATACGAACACAAGCGTAATTGAATAAAATATTTGATAACTTTATAGAAGTCAACGCTTACCATAATAGACCTTGGAATAAGAAAGAATTTGAAAACAAAAAACATTAGAAATTGAATATATAATATTGTTATTAATTCACAAAACTCTATTTTTGGGTAGTGACTTTGTTAATGTCTGGTATTTGATTTACAGTAACAATATCCCCTTTCATGTTACAATTACATAAATGTGGCGTCGTGTTATCTGTGACATCAGAATATGCGTAATCATCCCCATACACTTCGTCAAATTTAAAGAGAAAGAAAATGGATGGTTGTTGATAGGAATTGGTTAAGTAGTCGTCATATGTAAGTTATGTTGTGTGATAAATTGAAATAATATTAATTTTAAATTAAATGTATTTTAACGAGTCAATGTGACAGAAAGCACACATCGTCAAATGTGAATCTCGCCTGATGAGAAGCGGCTGCTTAATATCTTAATGCGCCTGCTGAAGATGGCGTTCGATGCATATACTTTAGTTGTTTCCCCCAGTTTAGTTAATTGTTTTGTCCAGTTTTCTTTAAGTAAATGATTGAAGAGTATGAAATGTTTCCGAGATACCAAGCTATTAATAAATTAGACACTTTTTTGTTATTTTGTGAATTAACTGTCTTCTTCCTAAATGAATTTCAATTCTTTTTATTTCAACACGAATAGACAGACTTCATTCAAATCTTTTATATGCATATATATATATATATATATATATATATATATATATATATATATATATATATATATATATATATATATTGTAGGAGAGTATCAACCCTTAATGTTTCAGTGACTATCATAGTTCCCATTTATAAGTGAATTAATAATCCATCCAAAAAGAAAAATAGTTCAATGTGAGTACCTTTTTACAATGTATTAAGTTATAACTAACTTTATATATTATCAGCTAACAGATGTTCTATTACGTATCAAAACTCAGATTGCAGTGTACGTAGTTCGACTGAAAAAGAAAAAAAAGAAAAGTCACCTTTGGTGACAGAGAGGAATCATAAAAAACCGATGCGCCGTGGATATTCACCACTTTCGTATCCCTGGAGCCGAGGCAAAGGAGGCGAAACGACACCCGCCGGGCCCACGCAGAGCGGAAGTGGGAGGGGGAGGGGGAGGGGAAAAGGGGCGGAGGCGACGCAGTATTGGCTGCGAGGAACGCGGCCGGAGGCGACAAGCGGCGAAACGTCCCTCCCTCCCCGGACATCGTTCCATCCCCCTGCACCACCGACCTCACACTCCGCTCCTTCTAAGGCGCCTTCGCCTCCACCGGCCTCCTCTTAGCACCAGCCTCCCAATTGGTCCTTCTCACTCTTACCTTCAATGAACATTTTCCCCTATTCCTTTACAATCCTCCATAGAGTTTTCCCTCTTCTTTTTCCAGGATGATTTTCATTGACATCTTTTGTGGTGGGGGATCGCTCTTTCCATATATTTTTTTTCTTATTAACCTCTCTTCAATTTTGTATTATGATATTCACCCTGACAGCAATACCGGAGATAAATTGAATCAAGAATACCTACATTTTCTTCTAAACGCATATCGTTTCCATGTTTCGTTGCATTGTTCCACTCGCAGGAGACTTGTTTAGATCGCCAATCCAACCAAATCCGTTTATCCATTCCAAACTCCTCCCTCTCATCCATTTCAGTCCGCATTATACCTGTCGAAACTCACACTCAGTCTCACTGTAGAGAATGCTCTCCCACACTCTCATTTAAAGCATCTCTCCATCCTCGATCCATCCACCACGTTCATTATTCCGCTTACAAACGTCCGATATATCTTCGCATCCTTTTGTGTGCACGTTCTACTCCCACATTCATTTTCAAAAAGCGTGTAAAATACTGTGGACCACCTTTTCGAAACGCAAAATTTGTAGTGATGGTTTGTACTCCTATTTCTGAACCTTCCGGTTCGTAGAGAGAATAACTGCTTAAGTGGTCATTTACAAAGCTCTTCCGTCTGTATAAGGCTGGCTTCTCATCCGTGCGGCTACAGAGTTTCCATGATACTATTTCCCGATGTGGCCAGCGAGCCTTTATTCTCGGTATGTCATTGTAACACATTACATTACAAGAGTTACAAGAGATGATGTTAGAAAATAGATTCCTAGAGTGTTCGACCTTCCACAACCCAAAGGTAAACCTCCATTCCGAAGCACGAATCGAACCCGCAGCCCTTCTGTCTGAGGTCGTCACGGTGCTTTAGCGATCTCTCGCCCAAGGGGCGGACCCGTGAAATCTAATTTTCCCAACACATTCCATGTCCCTTTGGTATCCGCCGTTCACCCCAAACTTCCACCGCTTCGTAGGTATAACGGTTAGCTTATTGAGCTCTTACTCCCACCGAAGATTGTAGGCTCAACCCCGATCAAAGCCATGGATGTTAAGGGGAAGAAAATCTTTCGTGTGCCTTCTTTTGAAGGAGAAATAAAACCGACTGTTTCATCTTGGAGATTTTCTGCAAATAAAATATCCTCAAGGTTAAAGCCCGTGATCAAATTTTAGATCGCCTAATTCGTCGCCGGAGTGATATTGTCTTTCACTGCTAGATGGCGCAAGAGCCTACCCAATAGGAAGAGCGGGTCTTAATGGCCTGAGTCTCGCCGCCTGTAATGAGACAACATTGA